AGTTTCCTTAAACCAGGGAGAACTAAGAGAGGGCTTTAGAGATGGCGAAGTAGTTAGGAGGGAGTACTGCTTTTGCCGAGGACCTGAGTTCAACTCCCAGAACCCAAGTCCAACGCTCACAATTGTCTGTAGCTCCAGCTCCAAGGGATCCCCGCCACCCCTGGGCTCCTCTGGCATCTGACTCACGTGTACATACCCCATCCCCCATACACATAAAATCTAAAAAAAATGAAATAAACATTAAAGTAAAACAAAAAACAAGGAACTAAAAGAAGGGGGGAAAACCCCTGGCACCTTGATAGTTACTTGTGTTTCCTATTGGCTGCATGCCAAGAAGCTGTAACACAGCTGATAAAGCCCAAACCACCCCTAAAAAGCTATGCATGGCGCACATGCTGTAATCTCTACACTAAGGAGGTGTAAGAGAATCACAGCAAGTTTAAAATCAACCTGGTCAACACAGTCTCCCTCAAAAAAAAAAAAAAAAAAAAAAAACATAAAATTGTCCATGAAGATAATGCTGGGCTGGCAGACTGCTAAGTGAGTAGAACACTTGACAATCTGACTTCAGTCCCTAGGAGCCTCAGAGTAGAAGGCAACCAGATCCTGAAAGTTGTCCTCTGACCTACACACACATACACACTCATATACATATACACATACACATACACACACAAACATATATACACACATATACATACACACTCACACACATATACACACAAATATATATACATACACACATACATACATATACACACTCATACACATACACAATACATACATATATACACACACTCACACACATACATAAATATACACATACACACATACACACTCACATACCTACATACATATACACACACGCATACATACATACACATATTTACACACACAAATATATACACACATACATACTCACACACACATACATACATATGCACACACAAATATATACACACATACACACTCATACACACACATACATACACACATATATTTATACACACAAATGTAATAAAATTTATGATGTTTGTTTTCCTAAAGTTTCAAGATACTACAAAAGATAAATTTAATGATAGTATATGTATGGTAAATAAAGACTTTTTTTTTAATCCTAAAACCAAATTTTGCTCCATGTTTATTTTATCAGTCTGTTCTGGACCTTAATAGAAACCTTTAAAAGCTCCCTGAAGGACATGACATCAGTCTCATAAATAGACCTGTGAATCACCTCCAAATCAACTTTATTTGACCTTTCTTTCCTTTTTCCTTTGTTTTTTGTCGGTTTTTTGTTTTATTTGTTTTTTTGAAACAGAGTTTCTCTGTATATCTCTGGCTGTCCTGGAACTCACTCTGTAGACCAGGCTGGCCTCAAACTCAGGGATCCACCTGTCTCTGCCTCCCTAGGGCTGGGATTAAAGACGTACACCACCATGCCCAGAAATATATTTGACTTTTCAACAACAGAGATAAAATAAAGACAGTCCACAGGCCCAGGGGAAATGAGTACAGACATACAGTTAAGCTCATTTGACAGCTTTAGTCCTGGGAATAATACATTTCCCCCAGGCAAACAAACCGTCCTCTTCAAAGAGACCCCATATAAAAGACAGAGTTTTGTAGAGGGACCAGTTTCTGGCACTGCTGTGGGAAATGCATGCTGAGAAAACTATCCTCAGCAGAGTTCTAAGAAATCAAGTCTTTGTCCTGCACAGAGAAAAATCGGTGTAGCCAAGATGCCCTGACCTCCTGAGGGAGGACAGTCCTTGTTCCAGTGATATCTGCTCTTGAAGACTGAAGCTCACCAATTTTCCCTGGTGGATCTCCCCTCGGTTACTGCAGGCATCAGTGAGGAGCCTTGGATAAGCCCTGATTGGGGGGGGCGTATAAAACATTGAATTTCTCTTAGATAATAGGGCTTTGTTCTCTATCTTAATCAATAAATAAATCAAACAGCTTTTTGTCCTATACGTGACAGAAAGACAAGGTTTCATGGGGAGTCATCACTGTTTTGTAAGAGGATGTATTTAGGCCAGCAGCTGGCTTCCTCCAACAGAGAGTCTGCAGCATGTGGGTGGTCAGAATACCCAGGAGGAGCTAACAGCAATGTCGGCTCTTGATGCCACGGAACTCAATCTGGGACACTTGCACTTGTTAGAGCAGTGGCTCTCAACCTTCCCAATGCTGCGATCCTTTAGTGCACAGTTCCTCATGGCATGGTGACTCCCAGCCATAAAACTATCTTTGTTGCTATTCATAACTGTCATATCTGACACGCAACCCCTGTGAATGCATCATTTGATCCCCTCCCCAAAGATTGCAACCCAGAGGTTGAAGACCACCGCGTTAGAGGGTTGCCCTAAATGTTCTGTGTCAGAAACATAGATGAACATGTCTGTGTCTTTCCACAGTGTCCAAATTTATTGAAGAGCAATAAATTCCCAAGGTTTAGCAGCTTCGATAACAATATTTTGTCATATTGCCCTCCCTCCCTTAGTAATCTGGCCAAGGTGAATGCAGGTTCCTTTATTCCAGTCTGTTCCCCGGAATTACTCATTTATCAGGCTGCCATAAGCAGGTAACGCCTAGCAGGCAGTGTTCTTAAGTCCATCCAGGGCCTGAGTCACCCTCCCTCCGACTAGAGTTTGTTTATAAACTGCTTGTAAAATAAAGTCTTCAAGGGCACGCCCTGAAAGAACACTATTTTATATAATATGGAGTAACTGGAACAGGGGGTAGCCTGACCTCAACAAGGACCTAACTCAACACTGTTAAACAGGGACTTGGGGCGGGAGAGATGACTTAGTGGTTAAGAGCGCTTTGGTGATGCACCGCTTTAATCCCAGCACTCTGGAGAACGAGACCGGTGGATATCTGTGAGTTCGAGGCCAGCTTGGTCTACAAAGCAAGTTTCAGGACAGTGAGGGCTGTTAAACAGAGAAACTCTGTCTTGAAAAACCAAACCAAACCAAACAACAAAAAGAGCACTTGCTGCTCCCCTAGACGATCCCAGTTCAGTTCTTGGCACCCATGTGGCAGCTCATGTCTGTAACTCCAGTTCCAAGGGATCAACACCCTCATAAAGCATACATGCAGGCAAAACATCAATGCACATAAAATAAACATGAATAAATCATTTAAGAAAAACCAGAGCCTTAAAATCAACGCACGCCAGTAAGTAAGTAGAAGACGTCTACATATCAGACTCATTCATTAGGCGCATTAAAAGTCATCCTTAAACCTTGCCACATGCTAAGCCTGATAATTTTGCTCTTATTCCCCAAAACAACAGAAAACAAACAAAAAAAACTCTACTGCAAAGTAAAAATCTTATGATATCTATTCTAGCAAGTCTAACCTGAGAGGCCAACCTTTAACAAATAATAACGTAGTTTACAAATAAAGCAATTACACGAATAAGCAAACAAAACCCTTTAAACAGAAGAGAGGGTTGTTCCAAGAAACAGTTACAGGGGCCAGTGATGTGGTTCAGGAGGGAGAGGGGAGGGGCCTGTCACCAAGTCTAACACCCTGAGCTCAAGTTCTGGGATCCATGCAACAGAAAGAAAGAATCAGATCTTACATATTGTCTTCTGACTTCCCACACACGTGGCATGGTACTGCCTACCCCCATAATCAAATAAAGAAGTAATCACAGAAACGGACATGGTGGTGCCGGTCTCTAACCCCAGCGCTCAGAAAGCAAGAGTTCTGGGATCCCTAGATAGAGGATCAAGAGTTCAAGCTCACCCTCAGCTACTTAGTGAATTTGAGGGGAGCCTGTGCTCCATGAAGACGCTGTCTAAAATAGATAGATCACAGATAGATGATAGATAGATAGATAGATAGATAGATAGATAGATAGATAGATAGACAGACAGACAGAGCCCCTTCCTCAGCTCAAAACGCTGAACATACTGCTTCACAATCGGGAAAAATAAGCCAGCTGCTGTCTGCACTGAATAGAAGACCTCAGCCCTAGCTTTACTTGCTCAAGCTGCTCTATAAAAAAATGAGGATTTATTTCAAAGATATGTTTCTTTTTTAAATTATGTATGTGTGAATGCATGTGTTGACTGAGGCCAGAAGAAGGTATTAGATCTACTGGGGCAGGTATGAGCTCTTTGATGTGGGTGCTGGGAAGCGAACTCAGGTCCTCTGCAAGAGCAGTACACAATCTCAAAGCTATTGTACTGGTCCCCCAAAGAGAGGACTTTTAACAGGGAAAACCATCTGGTTACATACAGACCTAAGAATTTATCTCTTTTGGAGATGTCCGATGACTTACACAGAGAGCAGGAGTGTACCCAGGAACGCCAGAGCGACTTAACCATTACACCGGGTGACATACTGACGGGTGTATCTAACTCCAGGGACCAGCTCAGAGGGCTCAGATACATCGTCCCCAAAGACACAGAGAAGAGTCGGGCTCCACAGTGAAGGGAGACCAAAAATGGCTGGTGGACTCAAGGGAACCCAAGATTCTGTTGCCCCAAGCAGACCAATAAAAAGAAAAGTGATTCAGGAACTTCATGACTCACGTCGCCTGGAAAGTGAAACGTTAACTAGTTTAGTCATCGGTGTCTT